GCTATTGATCTGAGATTTAGTCGATCTCTCGGTCTTTTGTGTCCACACTTTTGAGATCACAATCACTGCTAAAACCAACAAAAGTATACCAATTGTTACCACAATCAACACAATTATCACTGTTTTGTGTGGATTGTCAGGTATTGTGGGAACAGCTGTATTGGATTTGAAACAATGCTCTGCAAATGCAATCATTTCGTTTGGATCTTTACACTGAAATATATAAATATTTATTTAAAATTTATAACCGTTTTAAGAGTTAATAAATAACATATAATTAATCAATTATACTTGTTGTGATAACGATTCACCCATTTCTGTATAGCAATACCGGGGTTGACCTGAAATGTTATACCATAAGATATGTCCGTTAAATTTGCAAATTACATCCTCGAGTTGTTTGAGTAAGTGATCGGGTATTTGGTTCACAAACTTAGGTCTCCGACACTTATGCGGTTCATCGCAATCGCATTCATCGGTAATCACAACACCTCCCGGTCTGTCAGCACTGAACGGATCGGTTTTGTTGCCAACACTCCACTCTTCGCCCACATCTGCGGCACTCAATACCTGAACCGACCGGTCGTTTGTATTCAACGCAATCACATATTCATTGAAATCAATTATTGGTCTAAATATAATCGCTTTTGGGTTGTATTGAGTCTCATAATCCGTATAGTATTTTTCTGTGGCAGGCGTCATAAGACCGCTAAAATAACATCGGGTAAATACGGATTTGGTTTGTGGTCCCTGTTATTAATGAACAATTAAGCATAAACTTTATTCATACGGTCGATGACATTTGCTTAAATTAAAAATTAACTAGTTCAACATTTTCTTGTTTAAACTAATTTGTATTAACTTAATCTAATAGTACTGTAACTTAATTTACGTAATTACATTATTTGTAATTTTTATTAATTTAATGTATTTAAAGCAAAGTAAAGAAATAATTTGTGAACAAATGTCTGCTTCCCATTCATACCCAATAATATGTAGCACAATTAAACATTTTGTAAAGATATTGAGCCCCAAAACTATTGATAAAAGTAATGTTCTTTACATTTGTTACATTCGTTGATACCTCGGGTCTCTCCTCTTTTGGTGGCCATTCAATATCAAACTTCCATTCCTTACCGTTTGAATACATATAATGATCTGTTGTAAAAAACAAACGACTATACATTTTGACGCCATTATATCGACCATTAGTTGCAATCAAATCACAGATATTATAGTCATTACAATCAATGGTAGATATGAGACAAATAATGATCAAAATTGGTATCATTTTCTGGGAATAACTGTTTGAAACAAAAAGCAAAAATGACAACATTTAACACAAAGATTTCATTTGCAATAAAAACGATGTGATTTTAAATGTCAAATGAATTAACGGTTAATTTAATTAAATGTAAAAAATATTGCGTTTGATTTTAAATATACTTAACGTTAATTTAGGATAAATATTGTTGACATATGAGAGAAGTAGTTGCAAAATAAGATACTGTATTATAATTGTATCGTCGTAACAAGTATCTCGTCATCAATAATGGGCAAAAAATATGTAATTTTATAAAGTTTTACATATAATGAAAATTTTGCATTAATTGTACATTTCTTTGGTTTTGTTTGGCGTTTGATTTTTAAACTGATACTCAATTACTTGTAATCTTCAGATTTGTGGGTCTGTTCTCATTTATAGACATCTATGTCAACGATTCAGTTGACAATCACTTCAACCACTTGTCAACACATTTATTATCCAAAGAGTAGGTCTTTGTCTTTGTCTTTAAATCTATGACTGACTTCGTCCTCAGTATTCACATATTTAGATTTGAAATACTGTTTGAAAATTAAATTTCTATTAAACGACTTCGATTATTTAAAAAATAATGAAAACTAATAAAATTAATATTTAATAAAACAAAATTAACTCAACTTTAATACTTATATTAATTATTTTAGAATTAATGAAAAATTTAACGTTAAAAATATAAATTTAATGCATAAATATAAATACAAATTAAAAGAAATAAAAAAAATTTACAAATAAAAAGTTTAGCAACAGATCCGAGAGTCCATTACTTAGTCATTGGTTTAGTCTTCAATAGTAGATCTGTTGATGTGTTCATTGACTCGGATTGTGTTGCCGTAAATTGTGGATCAGTTTTGCGGACAATTGCCAACATTTCAAACTTTTCGCACGCAATCAATGCTATAATAACTCCTATAATAATCACCGAAAGTACTATTAATATCACAACAATTATCCATTTGATGGCAGGAGTTTTGTCTTCAGCCATATCTTCACAAAGAATTAATTCAGCGATCGTTTGATTCATACAATTGTCATCAAAATGAAGAGTTTTATTATTCAGACGACAGACACGATTGTCGACAAACAAATAGAGATAATCATTGAATGCAAAGCCGGCAGTCGTTTGTGACAAATAATTCCGGATCTGATCGATGGGAAACGGATTGTCACTTATATTCTGGAGTTTAGACATCATTTGGTAGCCATCGTGAGTCGTGACAGCGGATCCTTTGAGTTGATATACAGTAGTAAATGTAAAGTACAAGTCGTGGTGTAATGAACTGCTTATGTATTCAAAGGGTTGCAAAACTAATATTTCCAGTTTAATGGGTCGTAAGGTATAGTAATTTTTTATATCAATTGAATCAATTGGACTTTCGGAGACAATTGTCTTGTTGTGTGACCACAAAACCCATTCATAACTTCTTTGGATCTAAATTTATAACATTTCTGATAAATTAAATGTATAAAATTTATATACAATTTACATTTTGTAAAGTAAGTTTTTTTCCACGAGAGCTATAGTCGTAAAACACGGTATTTATAGGACCGATAACTCCTTTGGACCACTCGTTCAATGGTTCGGATCCTTTATATATGAATATGGGATTCATTGGATTCGTTGCATTGACGGACAGTTTATAGACAGTGTTGTCTGCAAACAAAATGATGACATCTGATCCCAAATCAGAGTATTTGTCCACAAATGCCGAATCAATGGTAAAGTCCGGAAAACACTTTGGATTCTGGGGTTAAAGATATGATAAAAATTATAATTGAATTAAATTTGAGCACAAAATCACTGACCGATTTATTCAATACAACCAATGATTTTATTGAAAACACAATTATTATCGAAATTAAATGCATTTCTTTTTATTTATAATCAAAATTAAACGGAAATGCTTACAATTATTTCTCAATGAAAATTCAAAATAAAATTTAAACTGAATTTAAACAATACTTTCGTTTACTTTATTATAACGAAACACTAATTTAAATGTCAAGAGATGTTTGCATTACTCAAAAGTATTATTAATCATACATTTTTGCATACATTTTATATAACACGATTACAGACCGTGTAATTGTAATAATTGTTTTCTATGCAATCAGTTGTTTATAAAAGCAAATCTATTATATAAGCCAACAGTGATATTAGTGTACGTGTAGTGCGTTCTCTCTCTCACACTCGCACGACTAATACATATGTATATACACACATAACTCATAGATATAGATATAAAGGGATTAAAGTTTTGTTTTGATTTATATCCGGTCTATTGTTTTGATGTATAAATGCAAAATACATTAGGTACAAGTAAACCTCTTTATATGTAACAACTGAGTAAAATGCNTATCCGGTCTATTGTTTTGATGTATAAATGCAAAATACATTAGGTACAAGTAAACCTCTTTATATGTAACAACTGAGTAAAATGCGTTTATATTAAATGGGCTAAGTGTACTAGTTATATATAAATATATTCAAGGAATTTAGTTTAATACATAATAAATCAATTAAATTAATTACAAATAATAAAATAAATTTTAAACTAATCTGAATTTATTAAACTATTTCTAAAATTTTGTTTTGTTTGACCCAAGAAATGATCACATGACAACTTTATTTAATAACAGATTAATGTAAATTATAATTACATTTAGAGATTAACAACAAAATACCATCATATAATTTGCATATTTATTTTTATAAAATCGTTTTTTATATGTAATAAATTTATTATTTTATACAATTTACCAATTTACAATTGGTATTTGTAAATATAGTTAAAGAATTTGGTAATTAATAAATAAAAATTAATTAAATTAAAGTTATAATTAATAAATTAAATTTAAAACAACACTCAAATAATAAAATAAATTAAAAAAATAAAAAATATTTAGTTTAAGAGTTTGTTTTGTTTGGTCCATAAAAAGATCACTTCATGGACTTTACAGACGACGATCTCTTTACTGCCAGTTCTGTGGGTCTGTTATCACTCGACGCCGAAGATAGCGATGTTGTCGACTCTTTTCTCGGCAAAGTGTCTACATTTTGATCCACTGTTTTATACTTCGGGTAAACTGTAGGCTTAGATGTGATGTCCTCTTCCTCTTCGGTCACAACTCTATACATAAGACACGCCATCAATGCTGTCATCAATACTAGTATTACAGTAATCGATATTATGATAATCAGAAGCCATGGGAAGGTCTCGCCGTTCATTTCTCCACATCTGATCCATTGATCGATTGTTTGATTCAAACAATTGTCCGCAAACTTAAGAGTCCTGTTATGCATACGACAGACACGATTGCCGGCAAACAAATAGAAGTAATCATTGAATGCAAAGCCGGCCGTCGTTTCATTCAAATAGCCCTCAATCTCATCGATGGTTAGCCTATTATTGATGGCATTGTTCTTAAGCTCTCGGATCAGATACATGTGGTCGCGATGACCCCTATTGGATCCTATGAGCCAATAATCCGATTGAATGAAAATGTCTTTCTCTATATAAATAGTGCTTCGTTTCCAATCAAATGGTAGGATAACCAGCTTTTCGACAATAATTGACGGATAAGAACAATCCGGCTTATATTTTCCAATAATTGTCTTATTCTCTGACCATATTCGCCATTTATTACTAATTTCTTTCTATTTATTAATACTTAATTAATTAACTTTTTATACAATTTGCACAAAAGTTACATTTTCAACACCAATGATGTTTCCGTAATCCATATAATGGACACAAGTTATGGGACCGACAATGCCTTTTGACCACTCGTTCAACGGTTTGGACTCTTTATATGTAAATATGGGATTCATTGGATCCATTGTATTGGCAGACAGTTTATAGACAGTGTTATTGGCAAACAAAGTGATAACATCTGATCCCAAATCAGAGTATTTGTCCACAAATGCCGAATCAATGGTAAAGTCTGATAAACACATGGGATTCTAGGGTTAAAGATATGATAAAAATTATAATTGATTTATAATTGAGCACAAAATCACTGACCGATTTGCTCAATACAACCAACGATTTTATTAAAACCACAATTACTATCGAAATTAAATGCATTTTTATTAAAAGTGCATTAAATAGTCAAAAACAAACGGAAATGTTTACAATTGTGTTTCTATTAAAAGAAAATTTAAATTGAATTTAAACAATACTGTACTTATCTTTATTTTATTATAACGAAACAATAATTTAAATGTCAAGAGATATTTGCATTACTCAAATGTATTATTATTCATACATTTTTTATACATTTTATATAACACGAGTACAGATCGTGTAATTTTGACAATAAAAACATAACCATTTTGTTATAAATTAATGAAATGAAAATTAATAATTAGTATTAATCGCAATATTTATTTAAAAATCTAATGATATTATGATATAAAATAACAATTAAATGTTAGAAATAAATACAAAAAATATTAGTTTATTATAACTTGAAAGTTGTATCAATTTTACGTCTTCTATCCATCAATGGTTTGCATCTTTTATCTAATCTGAGAGTCCATTACTTTAATGATTTTGAAATACTCTTAATCTTGAGATCCGTCGGTCTGTTGTCATTCAAAGACACGGATATGGGCCCAGATTTTAAGGAATTGTGATTCTGGTCATCGGAACCGCTGTCTGAAGAGTTGGTCACTTTATTTGGCGACGATTTATACTTGCGATGGAAACCAGGGCTAAATCTGTGTCTCGTTTTAATGCCAATCAGTGTTAAAATCACTGCTATTGTAACCAAACAAATAACCCCTAAAATCACGATAATTAACACTATTATGATATGGTTATAGTCTTTGCAGTCAATTGCCAGCCATTGAGCGATGGTTTGTGTCAAACAATTGTCATCGAAATGAAGAGTTTTATTATGCATACGACAGACACGATTGCCGGCAAACAAATAGATATAATCATTGAACGCAAAGCCGGCCGTCGTTTGATTGAAATATCTACTGATCTCATCGACGGTCAGCTTATTATTAGTTGTGTTCATGAGTCGAGGGATCAGTTGATAATCAGTTATCGACATATTGTCCATTCCTTTGTGATATCTGGTCTCAACGGTGATGTTGTTGTCGTGATATAAGTAACTTTGTGTCAACTCGTATGGATTGATAGTCAACTTTTCCACAATAATTGGCCGGAAATTATTTTCAAGTTTTGTAATTATTGTAGCATTTCCAATGATTGTCTTGTTTTGTGACCACAAATACCATCGAATGCCGATATAGTACTTAATGAACAGGAATTTCAATAATTATTAATTATAAAAATTAGTTAATATTAGTTTATATCAAACATACATTTTTTGTTTCAATTTTCTCTCGTCTGTAATAATATATGGCATGAATGGGTCCGCCGATGCCTTTCGACCACTCTTTCAATGGTACGGATCCATTGGGTTTGAAAATGGGATTCATTGGATCGGTTGCACTGACAGACAGTTTATAGACAGTGTGATCGGCAAACAAAGTGATGACATCTGATCCCAAATCAGAGTATTTGTCCACAAATGCTGAATCAATTGTGAATTCCTTTAAACACATTGGATTCTGGGATTAAATACATTATATATAATTATATCTGTATATAATTATTAATAAAATTATAATTTAATTAAACTTAAACACAAAATCTCTAACCGTTTCACTCAATACAATCAACACATTAATTAAAATCACAATTTGCATCAAAATTAAAACCATTTATGTTTATTGTTTTAATTCAAAAAATAACACAAATGTTTCCAAAAATTTAACGATTTCTTTGACAAAAATTATAGCAAATTTAATCAATATTTGAATAAGTGTTTCATTATAATAAAGTGAAAAATGTATTGTTTAAATTTTATGTTGAGTTTTCATTCAATAGAAAAATAATTATAAACATTTCCGTTTGATTTTGATTATAAATTTTAAAAAGAAATGCATTTAATTTCAATAATAATTGTGTTTTCAATAATATCATTAGTTGTATTGAATAATATCATTAGTTGGTCAGTGTTTTTGTGCTCAAATTTAATTTAATTATAATTTTTATCATATCTTTAACTCCAGAATCCAAAGTGTTTTCCGGACTTTACCATTGATTCGGCATTTGTGGACAATTACTCTGATTTGGGATCAGATGTCATCACTTTGTTTGAAGACAACACTGTCTATAAACTGTCTGTCAATACAACGGATCCAATGAATCCCATATTCATATATAAAGGATCCGAACCGTTGAACGAGTGGTCAAAAGGAGTTATCGGTCCCATAAATACCGTGTTTTGCGACTATAGCTCTCGTGGAGAAAAACTTACTTTACAAAATGTAAATCTTGTATAAATTTTATACATTTTAATTTATTAGAAATGTTATAAATTTAGATCCAGAGAAGTTATGAATGGCTTTTGTGGTCACACAACAAGACAATTGTCTTCGAAAGTCCAATTGATTCAATGGATATAAAAAATTACTATTCTTTACGACCCATTAAACTGGAAATATTAGTTTTGCAACCTTTTGAATACATAAACAGTACATTACACCACGACTTGTACTTTACATTTACTACTGTATATCAACTCAAAGGTTCAGCTGTCACGACTCACGATGGATACCAACTGATCCCTAAACTCCAGAATATAAGTGACAATCCGTTTACCATCGATCAGATCCGGAGTTATTTGTCAGAAACGACGGCCGGCTTTGCATTCAATGATTATATCTATTTGTTTGCCGGCAATCGTGTCTGTCGTATGAATAATAAAACTTTTCATTTTGAGACAATTGTATGAATCAAACGATCACTGAATTGATTGTTTGTAAAAATATAACTGAAGACAAATAATGGCTAATTATTGTAATATTAATAGTACTTTTGGTGGTTATTATAGGAATTATTATAGCACTGATTGCGTGCGAATTGTTTGAAATGTCGGCAATTGTTTGCAAAACTGATCCACAATTAACGGGAACTCAATCCGAGTCCGACAACAGCACAGCAACGGATCTATTATTGAAGACCAAACCAATGGCTAAATAATAAACTGCTGAATGAAAACAGACCCATAGATCTGAAGATTACAAGTAATTGAGTATCAGTTTAGAAATCAAATGCCAGAAACCAAAGAAATGTACAATTAATGCAAAATTTTCATTATTTGTAAAACTTTATAAAATTACATATTTATTGGCCATTATTGATGACGAGATATTTGTTAAATTTGATATAATTATAATTCTGTATCTAATTTTGCAACTATTTCTCTCATTTGTTAACAATATTTATTCTAAAATAACGTAAAGTACTGTATATTTAAAATTAAATTTTATTAAATAAACCGTTAATTCAGTTGACATTTAAAATCACATCGTTTTCATTGCAAATAAAAGTTTTGTGTTAAATGTTGTCATTTTTTATTTTTGTGTCAAACAGTTATTCCCAGAAAATGACACCAATGTTGATCATTATTTGTCTCATATCTACCATTAATTGTAGTGACAATAATATCTGTGATTTAATCACAACTAATGGTCGATATAATGGCGTCAAAATGTATAGTCGTTTGAGTAGTACTCTAAAACATTATATGTATTCAAATGGAAAGGAATGGGAGTTTGCTATTAAATGGCAACCAAAAGAGATGAGACCCGAGGTATCAACAAATGTCACGAATGTGGAGAACATTACTTATATCAATAGTTTCACAGCATCACGAAGGCTTTTTTTATATCATAAATGTGATACATATTATTGGGTATGAATGGGAAGCACACATTTGTTCACTAATTACTTATTTAATTTGCTTTAAATACTCTAAATTAATAGAAATAACAAATATTATTAATTAAATTTAGTTTAAGTTAAAATTAAATTAATATTATATAAGTTAGTTTAGGTAAGAAAAGGTTTAATTATTGAATTCTTTAATTTAAATTATTTGTTTCAAAATAATGTCATTGACCGTATGAATCGTGTTTAAGTTTAAAGTAATTGTTCATTAATAACAGGGACCACAAACCACATCCGTATTCACCCGATGTTATTTTAAACAGATTATGTCCTCCTTTTTTCCTGATAAATACTATACGGATTATGAGACTCAATACAATCCAAAAGCTGTGATCTTTAGACCAACGCATGACTACAAAAAATACGTGATTGCGTTGAATACAAACGACCGGTCGGTTCAGGTATTGAGTGCCGCAAATGTTGACGAAATAGCAGTTTACGGCCAAATCCCTCCATACAATACTAGTAGACCGGGAGGTGTTTTGATTACCGATGAATGCGATTGCGATCAACCGGTTCTGTGCCGAAGACCACGATTTGTGAACCAAATACCCGATCACTTACTCAAACAACTCGAGGGTATTGTTGCCTATAGAGTCTTTGCTAATAACATAGAGTTGATAGGATATATGTTGTGGTATAACATCTCAGGTCAGCCCCGGTATTGCTTCACACGTGTTAACCAGTCCTTGTCTGAAGAAGTATTGTCTTTATTTAAAAATTTCTCAAATAATTAAATTGAATTTATAACTTAAGTAATGATTAAAATAAATGTTTATATATTTCAGTGCAAACATCCGAACCAATTGATTGCATTCGCGATACATTGTTTCAAATCGTATCCAATACCTGACAATCCACACAATACAGTGATAATAGTGTCGATTGTGGTAACAATTGGTATACTTTTGTTGGTTTTAGCAGTGATTGTGATCTCAAAAGTGTGGACACAAAAGACCGAGAGATCGACTAAATCTCAGATCAATAGCACAGAGAAGGCGTCGGTTTCGAGGAATGCAATCAAAGAATCGGAATTAGAATCTGAACCACAAGTCTATCGGAGATCCAAATCAAAGCCTCAAATGTCAATCCCTTCGGACATCAAATCCATTGCCAAGACTTCGGCCATAAGTCCAGTCATCTCTTCGACTATGGATAACAATCGACCGACTGATCTAAAACTGAAGAGTAATACAAAGTCTGATAATTAATTGACTTTCTGATCAGAAACTCATTGATAGATTTTTATTTAATTGTTATATTAATACTTGTTTTCACTTTTATTTTGTAAAATTTAAACATTGGTAGTATTTATTATTTTAATATAAGTGTATTTATTTAGTACTATTTCTGCTAACGATATTATATCTATAACACATTCTGCGTAAAACATTATTTATAAAATAAACACATTTTTAGAATATTAAAATATTGTCACAAAATGTCACATAAATTCCAATCACTATAACAAAAATTAAAATTCTCCTCTAATTACATTGTATATTTATTTTAGAAAATAACTTATTTTTATCATAATTTTAGCATAGTTTACAACAAATATTTTGATCATGATTTAATGCTAATTTTAATTCTATGATTATTATTATAAAATTCCAGATTAAATTCCTTTTTCTCTTAAAAGATTAATTAATTTTTGCAATCATTTGAATTCATACTCCAAACACAAATGGCTTTCATATTAAGATTATGTGTGTTTTTAATACAACTGTATTTTGTATTCAACGCATCGGTCAGTAATTTTATGTTCAAATTTAATTTAATTAAAATATAAATTAAATATTTAATTACAGAATCCATTGTGTGATCCGAAAATAAAAATCGATTCGGCATTTGTGGACAAATACTCTGATTTGGGATCAGATGTCATCACTTTGTTCTCCAACACTCTAAATAATGTTTCAAAATAATGTCATTGACCGTATGAATCGTGTTTAAGTTTAAAGTAATTGTTCATTAATAACAGGGACCACAAACCACATCCGTATTCACCCGATGTTATTTTAAACAGATTATGTCCTCCTAAATTAAAATATAAATTAAATATTTAATTACAGAATCCATTGTGTGATCCGAAAATAAAAATCGATTCGGCATTTGTGGACAAATACTCTGATTTGGGATCAGATGTCATCACTTTGTTCTCCAACACAACTGTCTATCAATTGACTGTCGAAACTACGGATCAGATAAACCCTATCTTTCGATACAAGAGATCCATACCATTGAACGAGTGGTCAGAAGGTATTGTCGGTCCCATTAATGCCGTATATTATAGGAAACGAAGTCAAATGGTTTACTTAATAAATGTAAGATTTTATGAATTATGTATAAATGTTTAGATTAATTGAATTGCTGTTTGATTAGCGAGAAATGGGAATTAAATACCATTTGTGGTCACAGAATAAGACAATTTACAAAACACTCAAATATCACTCAAACACCACTAATAAAAGACACCTTATTTTGGAAAAGTTGTCAATCAATCCATACGAGTGGACACGAAGTGATTTATATCACGACAAAAACATCACCGTTAAAATCAGTTATCGTAAAAGATTGAGTAAAACGTTTCATTTTAAATATTCTTTGATCCCTTCGCTCAGGAAGAATATGAGAGACAATAAACTGACCATCGATGAGATTGAGGGCTATTTGAATGAAACGACGGCCGGCTTTGCATTCAATGACTATTTCTATTTGTTTGCCGGCAATCGTGTCTGTCGTCTCAATTACAAGACTTTCAGATTTGACGACAACTGTTTGACACAAACCATCGATCAGTGGATTGATTGCAAAGATTAATAAAACCATTAATCAATTTGAAAACTTATATTATTTCAGTAATTATATTAAATTTTAATCATATAATTTAGATTTTATATATAATTAGATTTCATTTTAATTATTTAATTTATAATTGTATATATAATTAAAATGTAATTCAGGTTTTTCTATTACTGTTAAATTTTAATAAAAATTGATTTTTATTTAACTTTATTAAAATAGAAAATTGTTAAATTGTTAATAAACGTATTAAATGCTTTTATTATGATTAATTATATATTATTAATAATATTGATTTTTGAAGTTAGAATTTTTATAATTATTAACATAATTAAATTTAGTTCTCATATTTCATACATTAATAATATTTAAACAATTTATGGATTAAATCATACATATTAATACATTATGATGATTATTTAAAATGAATTTAGCTATAATTTATTTAAAGTGTAATAATAACATAAAATTCAATGAATATACAATAATTCGAATTCAGTTTTGATTGTCATATCCTATTTATTTAATGCATTTTACAAATTATTAATTAGTTTTAATAATAAAAATATTTTAATTATCATATACAGTATTTATAATAATACAATACAATGTTTGTTAATACAGTATACGGTATGTTTTACATCACAATAAAATTCTTATCAACATTTTAATTGGTTTCTGTAATCACTTGTTATTACTTTTACTTCAAACTACACACAAATGGCTTTTATTTTGAAATTAATTGTGGTTTTAATACAACTGTTGGTTGTATTGAATGAAAAGGTCAGTAATTTTGTACGTAATTTTGAAAAAGTACTGTAAATTGATTTAAATACAGAATCGTTTGTGTGAACCGGACTTTACAATTGATTCGGCATTTGTGGACAAATACTGTGATTTGGGATCAGATGTCATCACTCTGTTTGCGGACAACACTGTCTATCAATTGACTATCAATACAACGGATCCCATAAATCCTGTCTTTGTATACAACAGATCTCAACCATTGAAAGAGTGGTCAAAAAGTAATGAAATTGTTGGTCCAATAAATGCCGTAAAATTTTTATTCAGTATCACTTCACTCATTAACGTATGTCTGAATTAAAATATATAAATATGAATCACATTATATATTGTATACAAATAGACACAAACGGGAATGCAATGGGATTTGTGGTCACAGAATAAAACAATTCGAGAAACACATATTTTTTACGGAAATTTAAATAAAATATACTTCGATAAAGTGGTTTTGAAGCCATTTCTATGGATTCGCAGCGTATTATATAATGCAATTGATTTTCCGTTAATAACAGGATATATAGGAGATTTCGTTAAGTTTGGTCACAGTTATTATCATTTAATCCCTAAACTCAAGAATATAACCTATAATAAGCTAACTATCGATGAGATTCGTAGATATTTGTCACAAACGACGGCCGGCTTTGCATTCAATGACTATTTCTATTTGTTTGCCGGCAATCGTGTCTGTCGTCTCAATTACAAGACTTTCAGATTTGACGACAACTGTTTGACACAAACCATCGATCAGTGGATACGTAGATATTTGTCACAAACGACGGCCGGCTTTGCATTCAATGACTATTTCTATTTGTTTGCCGGCAATCGTGTCTGTCGTATGCATAACACGACTCTCAGGTTTGACGACAACTGTTTAAATCAAACCATCGCTCAATGGATTGGTTGTGGAAATGAAGAGATAGTGTAAACATTCCTTTGGATCTGATTGTTCAAGATGAATTCAATTTGTTTTTTGTTATTTATTTAAATTTTTATTATAATAAAGTTTAATGGATTGATTGTATTCATTGTTAAAATTTAATAATTTTTGGATTATATTTTTTAACAACTTATAAGATATTATTATAATTATTTGCAATTTTAATAATTAATTAAAAGATTTCATCTATGCTATTATTTTATAATATTTTTATGATACTTAAACAATTCATGGATTTAATCATATTGTAGTCATTATTATGGTATCTAAAATATTTGTATGATTCAGTATTTTATGAATAGGGATAGGACTTGCATTTTTTGTATATATTGCAGCATAACTTCATTTATGAAATTTTACCTTAAAGAAAACAGAACTGTAATCCCTGTTGCCATATTACTGTTGCCATTTACTCGCCGCTACATTAATCTCATGTACAACTAAATTCTGACTTAGAATATGAAATCAAAAAATAGGAATCTTGAATAATTTTTAAGTTATTTGATTTAGAAATAAATTTATCAAAAATTCTAAGCTAGCTTAATTTATTTGTATAATATATAAATTAGGCGTATAATTTAATTCTGACTTCAAATTTTAAATTAACAATATTCAATCGCAAATATCTTTTAAATATTTCACATTTTTAATTTGGATGGTTTAAAATTTTAGATATGATTAAACAATATTAAACCATGTTAAAATCTCCATAGAATTCATTTATTATATCAAAAATTATTCAATTATAAATTTCTGATAAAAAATTTTAAAGTTAAATAACTCTTAATTCATTCGAGATAAGCAATGTGTAATTTACTATTTATACTTTGACCATCGTTTGGATGTTTTTTGGGTAGCGCTACAAGATTTCTTAATGACACTTCTGAAGTAAATACAACAATACACTTTAATATATAGTTATTAGCACGAAAGTGCATGAAAGTCCCATCCATATTTATGAATCATGATTTATTATATGAAAATATACATATGTATTACATATTTTTAGTTTTACTAATTATGCTGCCTATTTAAATGTATAATATTCAATAATTAAATAAGTAGTCGAGTCACTCGACTCGAGTGATATATTTTATATGTCCAGATTGTTTTGGGTGTGGCCGTGGTAATCATATATTTAATGTTTAAGTTATTTTTAGTTTATAATTTTAATTAGTTATAAGTTTGAAGTGAAATATAAATCACATTTTCACTGCATAAGAATTCTATGAATGTATTATTCAAATCATAATCTGATGCTTAAACTTAAACATTGTTTTTATATTATGAATAACCAAATTGTTAACTCATTATTAATTATGTAAATTTTATTAATCTACATTGTAGACAATTGGAAACAATAATTGTCTGTTCAATTGATATTCTATTCACATGAAATTTTACAATATTTGTTCAACATTTTGTGCCCTCTACGTTAAATATAATTATATCTAATTATAATGTGAAATATGTGTTAACTGCAAATTTAATCAAGTAATTATGAATATATTTATGTTAGATATTTTAGTTGAACATGTGGTTACACTAACAAGTAAGTATAGCCGCTATACTAGAGTGTCTATCAATAATCAACAATTTATTAATAATTAAAACTAGTCAACAACGGTATCATACAAACATACATTAAAAATCAATTACAATAATTTTTAATTATATAAATTGTTAATTCATTTGACATTTAAAATCACATCGTTTTTATTGCAAATGAAATTTTTGGGTTAACTTTTGTTATTTTTGGTTTTTGGTTCAAACAGTTATTTCCAGAAAATGACACCAATTTTGATCATTATTTGTCTCATATCTATCATTGATTGCAATGACTATAATATCTGTGATTTGATTGCAACTAATGGTCGATATAATGGCATAAAAATGTATAGTACTTATGGATATACTAAAGATCATTACATGCATTCAAATGGTAAGGAATGGGAGTTTGATATTGAATGGCAACCACAAGAGATGAGAATCGAGGTATCAACGAATCACAAGAATGTAAAGAACATTACTTTTATCAATAGTTTTGGGACTCAAGAAGATCTTTTCAAAGTGTTTAAATGTGATACATATTATTGGGTATGAATGGGAAGCAAACATTTGCTTAAAAATTTGCTTTAAATTAATAGAAATTACAAATAATATTATTACGTAAATTCAGTTTTTATTAGATTTCATTAATATAAGTTAGTTTAGGCAATTAAAAGATTGAACTAGTTACTTCTTTAATTCGAGCAAATGTCATCGACCGCAATAGTGCTTAAGTTTAAAGTAATTGTTCATTAATAACAGGGACCACAAACCACATCCGTATTCACCCGATGTCATTCTTCATTTTACTATACTTCCATTATCTCACATAAATACTATACTGATTATGAAACTCAATACAATCCAAAAGCGGTTGTATTTATACCAACAACTGATGAATACAATAAATACGTGATTGCATTGAATACAAACGACCGGTCGGTTCAGGTGTTGAGTGCCGCAGATGTGGGCGCAGTTCCCGCTGTAAACCAAACCGATCCCTTCAGTGCTGACAGACCGGGAGGTGTGAAGATTACCGATGAAAACGATTGCAATGAACCGCATGAGTGTCGGAGACCTAAGTTTGTGAACCAAATACCCGATTACTTACTCAAACAACTCGAGGGTATCGTTGCTTATGAATATATTAATGGTAATTATACGATAAAGTCTGGATATATGCTATGGTATAACATTTCAGGTCAGCCCCGGTATTGCTTTACACCTGAAAACGAATTCTTGTCTGAAGAAGTATTGCCTTTATTTAATGATTTCTTAAATAATTAAACTAGATTTTAAAACTTAAGTAATGATACGAATAATTGACTATATATTTCAGTGCAAACATACGAACCAAATGATTGCATTCGCAAAGCATTGTTTCAAATCGGATTCAATACCTGTCAATAAACACAAAACAGTAATAATTGTGTCGATTGTGGTAACAATTGGTATACTTTTGTTGGTTTTAGCAGTGATTGTGATCTCAAAAGTGTGGACACAAAAGACCGAGAGATCGACCAAATCTCAGATCAATACCAAAGTCAAGACATCTGTTTCGATGAATGCAATCAAAGAATCGGAATCTGAACCACAAGTCTTGAGAAGATCTAAATCAGAGCCTCAAATGTCGATCCATTCGGACATCGAATCCATTACCAAGACTTCGGCCATAAGTGGAGTCATCTCTTCCACAATGAGTGACAACAGACCGACGGATCTAAAACTGAAGAGTAATACAAAGTCTGATAATTAATTGAGTTTCCAATCAGAAACTCATCGATAGATTTTTATTTAATTTTTATACTTGTTTTCATTTTTATTTTATAAAATTTAAACATTGATATTATCTATTATTTTAATATAAGTGTATTTATTTCGTACTATTTCTACTAACGATATGATAACATATTCTGCGTAAAACATTATCTATAAAATAACACATTTTTAAAATATTTAAAACAATATTAAAATATTGTCACAAAATGTTACATAAATTCCTATCACTATAAATTAAAATTCTTCTTTAATTACATTGTATACTTATTTTAGAAAATAACTCATTTTTAGCATAATTATTAATTAATATGTTTGCAACAAATATTTTAATTATGATTTAATGCTAATTTCAATTCTCTGATTATTATTTTAAAATTCCAGATTAAATTTTTTTTCTCTTAAAAGATTAATTAATTTTTGCAATTATTTGAATTCATACTCCAAACACAAATGGCTTTCATATTGAGATTAAGTGTGTTTTTAATACAACTGTTTTTTGTATTTAACGCATCGGTCAGTGATTTTATGTTCAAATTTAATTTAATTAAAATGTCAATTAAATGTTTAATTACAGAATCTAATGTGTGATCCGAAAATAAAAATCAATTCGGCATTTGTGGACAAATACTCTGATTTGGGATCAGATGTCATCACTTTGTTTGCAGACAACACTGTCTATCAATTGACTGTCAAAACCACGGATCAGATAAACCCTATCATTCAATACAATAGATCCCTACCATTGAACGAGTGGTCATCAGGTATTGTCGGTCCCATTAATGCCGTATATTATAGGAAACGAAGTCAAATGATTTCCTTAATAAATGTAAGGTTTTATTAATTATGTATAAATGTTTAGATTAATTGAATTGCTGTTTGATTAGCGAGAAATTGGTATTAAATACCGTTTGTGGTCACAGAATAAGACAATTTACGAAACACTCAAATATTACTCAAACAGCACTAATATAAGACACGTTATTCTGGACAAGTTGTCAATCAATCCATACGAGTGGACACGAAGTGATTTATATCACGACAACAACATCACCGTTAAAATTAGTTATCGTAAAGGATTGAGTAAAACGTTTCATTTTAAATATTCTTTGATCCCTTCGCTCAGGAAAAATATGGGAGATAATAAGCTAACCATCGATGAGATTGAAAGCTATTTGAATGAAACGACGGCCGGCTTTGCATTCAATGATTATCTCTATTTGTTTGCCGGCAATCGTGTCTGTCGTATGAATAACAGGACTTTTCATTTGGCTGACAATTGTTTGGCACAAACCATCGATCAGTGGATTGGTTGCAAAGATTAGTCAAACAGTTAATCAATATAAAAACTTGTAATATAAGTTTATTATTAAATAATATTACTATTTCAGTAATTATATTAAGTTTTAATTATATAATTTTTAATTTAGATTTTCTTTATAATTATATTTTAAATATTTGATTTATAAATTATAAGATTACAATGTTATTTATGTTTTACAATTAAAATTTAATAAAAGAATGCTTTTTATTTAATATTATTTAAAAAAGAAATTTCTTATAATATACTACAACAAATGGTTTACTTAATAAATGTAAGATTTTATGAATTATGTATAAATGTTTAGATTAATTGAATTGCTGTTTGATTAGCGAGAAATGGGAATTAAATACCATTTGTGGTCACAGAATAAGACAATTCACAAAACACTCAAATATCACTCAAATAGTGGTAATAAAAGTCACGTTATTTTGGAAAAGTTGTCAATCAATCCATACGAGTGGACACGAAGTGATTTATATCACGACAAAGACATCACCGTTAAAATCAGTTATCATAAAGGATTGAGTGAAACGTTACATTTTAAATATTCTTTGATCCCTTCGCTCAGGAAGAATATGGGAGATAATAAACTAACCATTGATGAGATTGAGGGCTATTTGTCACAAACGACGGCCGGCTTTGCATTCAATGATTACTTGTATTTTATTGCCGCAAACCGTGTCTGTCGTATGCATAACAGGACTCTTCATTTCGATGACAATTGTTTGACTCAAACCATCAATCAATGGATTGGTTGCAAAGATTAGTCAAACAATTAATCAATATAAAAACTTGTAATATAAGTTTATTATCAAATAATATTACTATTTCAGTAATTATATTAAATTTTAATCATATAATTTTTAATTTAGATTTTCTTTATAATTATATTTTATTTTAAATATTTGATTTATAAATTATAAGATTACAATGTTATTTATGTTTTACAATTAAAATTTAATAAAAGAATGCTTTTTATTTAATATTATTTAAAAAAGAAATTTCTTATAATATACTACACAATACTTTTATTATAATTAATTATATATTCTTATTAATTGAGTTTTAATTGCTAATGATTTTGTAGTTAGGATTTTTATCATTATTAGCATAATTAAAATTAGTTCTCATTTTTCATACTTTGATAATATTTTATAATAATTAACTAATTAAAAATTTATTAATTAAGTCATGCACATTACAATAATTATTTAAAATGAATTTGGTTATAAATTATTTAAAGTGTAAAAATATCGATAACATATAATTCATTGAATAAAAAATTACTCAAATTGAGTTTTGATTGTCATATCCTATTTATTTAATATATTTTATAATTATTAATTAGTTTTAATGACAAAAATATCTTAATCATGAGTTAATTATAATAATACAACACAATGTTTGTTAATATATGATATTTTAATTCAGAAATTCTTATAAAATATTTAATTGAAATTTTTTGTAATCACTTCTGTTGTTAATTCTATATAAACTAAACAATAATGGCTTTAATATTGAGATTAATTGTGGTTTTAATACAACTTTTGGTTGTATTGAATGAAAAGGTCAGTAATTTTGTACATAATTTTGAAAAAGTACTGAAAATTAATAATTGATTTAAATATCAATTTAAATACAGAATCGTTTGTGTGAACCGGACTTTACCATTGATTCGGCATTTGTGGACAAATACTCTGATTTGGGATCAGATGTCATCACTTTGTTCTCCAACACAACTGTCCATCAGTTGACTATCGATTCAAACGAAACGATTCAATACAAGAGATCCATACCATTGAACGAGTGGTCAAAAGGTATTGTCGGTCCCATAAGTCGTGTCTATTATTTAAATTTTGGAGACTTTATTGGAGTAGAAAATGTAAATTTGATATAAATATATATGAATTGTTAGTTAATTAATTGATATAATGCTAATTAGAGGGACAGTCATGTGTGGAGTATTTGGTCACACAATAAAACAATTAATAAACACCACATTTTGCCAAAACAACATTCCAGGATAATAGTGNGGAGTAGAAAATGTAAATTTGATATAAATATATATGAATTGTTAGTTAATTAATTGATATAATGCTAATTAGAGGGACAGTCATGTGTGGAGTATTTGGTCACACAATAAAACAATTAATAAACACCGCATTTTGCCAAAACAACATTCCAGGATAATAGTGTTGGAACAGTTGGTTATTCTACCCATTGTATTGAAACGAAGCATTTTATTTCTCCAGAAAGATATTCTCATTGAAGACGACTATTATATAAAAGGAGTCAATTTTTATTACAATCACACCATGTATTTGATCCCAATTCTCAGGAGGAATAACAATAATAATCTACCCATTGATGAGATCGAGGGTTATTTGAATGAAACGACGGCCGACTTTGCATTCAATGACTATTTCTATTTGTTTGCCGGCAATCGTGTCTGTCGTGTGAATAATAAAACTCTTCAGTTTGCGGACAATTGTTTGACTCAAACAATCGCTCAATGGATGGGTTGTAAAGACATGCCATTAAATCTCAATAAAAATAGTAATTATGAGATTCTGTTAATATTTGTTGTTATAATTGCTGTTATAATAGCAGTACTTGTATTCAAACTGTATTTTCAATCAGACATTTCCAAAACTCAAGTTATTGTCCGCCGAAGACATAAAACAAGTCATCGAAAGACATACACTTTGATCACTAAATCTACTGAAAAGTTATCGAAAACACAGTCGACGTCGACATCAGTGGATGAGAACAGACCAACAGATCTGAAGAGTATTTCAACGTTTTGTTAATTAATTGATTTATATATCAGATATAAGGCAATTGATGGATAGAAGACGTGAAAAGTATAAAGTAATAAGACGTGAAAAATATAAAGTAATGTTAACATTTTATTATCCATTATTTATTTATTAAAATTTAATTAATTTTTTATACAATTTTCATTACGATATCAATATTTAAGTTTTATTTTTTGTTTAAAAATTACAATAATGAATTAATAATGTTTTGAATTTTATTAAACTATTTCTTTCATTAAATAATTAATAATAATTAAAACTTATTATCAATCAAATGAACGTTAAAATAAAGGGGCGGTCAACTGATCTCCAGCATGCGGAAAACGCTATATCTCTTTAACTATAAGAGCTATCCTTATTCTGTAAAAAGCATTTAAG